TCCCTTGGACTGCAAGGAGATCCAACCAGCCAATCCTAAAGGAGATCAACCCTGAATACTCATTGGAAGACTGATACTATAGCTGAAGATCAAATACTTCAACCACCTGATGTGAAGAGCCGACTCACTGGAAAAGACCCTGATGCCAGGGAAGACTGAAGGCAGAAGAAGAGGAGGCTGACAGAGGATGAGATGGTTTGATGGCATCACTGATTCAATGGACATGAACTTGAGCAAACTCTGGGAGATGGTGAGGGACAAGGAGGCCTGGCGTGCGGCCATCCCTAGGCTCACAAAGAGTCAGACACAACTAAGTGACTGAACAACAACAACAAAAAACCAAGCCTATCCTGAGTGATACAAGTCCCATGACTATGATATTTAATAGTTAATAAGTAACTTTAGGGGCTTCCCTGCTAGCTCAACTGCCAGAGCTACTGGTGAAGGACAGGGAAGCCTGGCGTGTAGCAGTTCATGGGATTGCAAAGAGTCAGACACAGCTTACCAACTGAACAACTTTAACATGGGCTTCCCTGGTGTTCAGCGGAAAAGAATCCGATTGTAATGCAGGAAACCGCCTTCAGTGCAGGGGATGCAGGTTTGATCCCTGGGTTGGGAAAATGCCCCAGAGGAGGGCATCACAACCCACATCAGTACTCATGCCTAGAGAATCCCATGGACAGAGGAGCCTGGTGGGCCACGGTCCATGAAGTCACAAGAGCTGGACACGACTTAGCAACCAAACCACCACTACCAACTTTAACATACAACTATTGTGGCCTGACTTGGCTACGAAGGAATACATATTTCATTGACTCAGAAAACTATTTTAATGCAATGGGCTGGATTGGTACATGAAGGCATGAATATATCTCCATCGAGTGCACTGGGATCCCTGAGCATTTATAACTAAACACATACACAGCATACTGCGGTAAAAGAAATGCATTGGTGAATACAAATCTTTTATCCAGAAAACTATAAAATGTGTAAATTTAATTGATTTTTTAAAAGTTCAAACTGGGGTTAAGATGACATTTTACTTCTAGGGAAACAAATTTAGGCTAGAAAGATACTCATCTGATGAATTTTAAAAGGCTACAAAGTGTTTTAATATGTCCTTGAATACTGTCCAGGACTGTGGATTCTACAGTGAATCATTTAACGGGTCTAAGGCTTAGAGCAACAAGGTGCATGTAACTCAACCCACCTGGGGATGTGTGTCTGCATATTAATACATGCCTCAATGGTCCAAGCAGACAAGTGTTACATTGGTGAAGTGACCCAATCAAAGAAAAGACTTTGATGGGGTACATTTTTCTAGCTCAATTGAGAATCAAGCTCTCTAGAAACTTTACCCACAGAGTATCAAAGCAGGAATCCCGAGCTATTAGACTCAGGTGTGGCCAGTGAAAGCTTGGTCTTGTAAGAAGAGTTCATCACCAGCCTCTCTTGGGCACTGAGGTCCTGAATCCTGACTCATTCTGCCCTTGAAAATCAGACAGATCCTCAGATCCAATGGGGGGGGGGGGGGGCGCGACACAGACTAGAGGGAATTAAACTAGAGTTAGAACCTAACCAGGGCTTCTCAGGTGGCTCAATGGTAAAAATCTGGCCACCAATTCAGGAGATGCAAGTTTGATCTCTGCATCAGGAAGATCTCCTGGAGAAGGAAATGGCAACCCACTTTAGTATTCTTGCTGGAGAATTCCAAGGACAGAGGAGCCTGGTGGGCTTCAGTCCATGGGGTCGCAGAGTCAGACATGACTGAGCACTCATGCATGCAGAACCCAACTAGCCAATTAAAAACTAAAGGACCACACAGACTAGACAAGCTGCCAAGGCCCTGAGTTGTGAGATTCCTAAGCAAGTCTGGAAACTGTCAGATCCACTCCTCACCATGGGGAACAGAACCAACGATCTGGTGAAGAACCAGCCAGTGTATGTGTATAAGCCAGTCATCACTGGGTCAGGTCCACCCAGAGGGTACCTTTAATTCCAAGCTTATCTATTTGCAAACAGGGTTGCACTGGGTACCCTACTGATAGATTTCACAGGCGCGAAGCCCACTGCTGGTGAAGGTCAGGCCCAGATTGACAGGGATGGGAGACCAGGAGAAGGGCTGCAGGCGGCCCACTCAGAGGGGAAGCCCACTCTCACTGGGTGTGCCTGACACAGGAGAGGCAGGACCGCTCGTGCTCTGTTTGTGGTCACGTAACTCCAGAAGGCTCCTCCGACTCCTCAGGGCTGCGCTTCCTCTCACTAAACCTGAGCCTGGCACACCAGCACGCTGAGGGCTGGTGGTGCTCTGGATGGCTCTCTCTTGTCTTAAATAAGTTCGGTGCAACCATAAGGCTTGAGGAGAGATGAGGTGGGGAGGGGGTGTCCCTTGGGGCTGCGGAAAAAGCATTCAGCAAGTGTGGCCCCAAAGATGTCCCTCCCCATCCTCATCCCAGAGTCCAAGAGCATCTCACCTTACATGGCGAAAGGGACTCTGCAGAACTTGAGAGAGGAGACGATCATAGATTTTGGGGGGTGGGGTGGGGCTGTGATCACAGGGAATCAGAGGAGTCAGAGAAGGAGATCTATGTTAATAGAAGCAGAGACACCAGAGCGATGAGATTGTGGCCTTGAAGACAGAAGCAGGCCACAAGCTAATGGAAGTGGGGGCCTCTAGAAGTTGCAAATAGCAAGGAGTGGCCTCTCCTATGGAGCCTCCAGGAGGAATATGGCCCCCGCCCAGGCCTGAATCGTAGCCCATTGAGGCTGGCTTTAGATAATTCACTGCAATTGTTTTAGAACACTAAATGTGTGGGAAACTGTTGCAGCAGGCCATGTGAATGGGTGTGTGTTCAGTCACTCAGTCGTGCCCAACTCTTGCGGCCCCCAAGGACTGCAGCCCACCAGGCTCCTCGGTCTGGGGATTTCCCAGGCAAGAACTCTGGACTGGGTGGTTGCCATTTCCTCCTCCAGGGAATCTTCCGGACCCAGGGATCGAACCTGCATCTCATGCATTGGCAGGTGGGTTCTTTACCACTGAACCACGGGAAGCCACCTTACAGCAGCCACAGGAAGCAAAAACACACTGGAAGACAGACATGCCCGCAGTCTAGCCTTGTACTAATTCCCTAAGGGAGACGCAAACAGGCCACGTTCCCTGAAGGTGTCGTGCAAGGGCTGCGCCAGGGTAATGCTCTCTGCAGATGAGAACATCTTACAGTGATAATACGTTGGTTACATAGAATTTCATTTTATGACACTTAAAGATATTCTGGATGGGTCCTAAGATTTGTATGAGCCGGCAAGTCATGAGATTAAATCAGTAATATAGTCCCCTCCCCCATTTTCATAAGAAGTATTGTACTCCTTGCTGTGAACAAGTGTAGAATTTCTCAGTCTTCTGTATTTTATGGGCTCAACTCTATTTTTCTTCAACAGAAGAAAAGGAACAACAGATTTATTCTGGGTCTGAGACAAACCTGCTTTATAACTCTTTAAATTATGTTCCAGCAGACCCTGATGTGATCAGACTTCTAATTTGGTTTAAACACAGAAACCTCTGAACATGTAAACACGAAGGTCAGTAAGTATTCTCTACGGAATTGGCAAGTGTGGGTAGTGGGTTACAGAAACTCTTGCTCTGGTTTTTCTATGAGAAAGACCATACGATATCCTAGGAAATTCAAGGCCAGAGGGACCTGCAACAGGCTTCATCCATGTGACAGTGCTGTGGTTCCCACACTCCCTGGGGGTCAGCACCCCTGCAGGGTCCCGGCCCCAGAATCCGTCTTCCAGTAGGTGCAGGGCAGAGCCTGAGAACCTGCGTTCTCACAAGCTCCAGGTGAGGCCGATGCTGTGGATCGGGGGTCACACTCTGAAAACCACCTCCCATCCAAGGCCCAATTTCTCCCAGGTCCTGAGGAGGGTCCATGTTATCTCATCTGATTCAACTGCCCCTGCCAAGCTAGTTCATATGGTGCAAATGATGAAGGGTCTCTATCTCCTACTTGACCAGAAGCCAGGAGCTCTCCGGCTTGTCTGTATCCTGGAGTCACATTGAAACCCCTCCATGCACAGGCCTCACTCCAGGCCAATCAGCCCAGGATAGGGGGTGAGGGGTAGGCAGGTCGCAGGGTTTGGATAGCTTCCCAAGTGATCCAAAACCCAGCCAAGATGGAGAATGGCTGCAAACATGATGGATGGCAAAAATGATGCCAACCGACTGAAGCAGACAACACAGCAGGGCCCTATGCCAAGCGCGGCTGTCATCGTTGGTGCCACTTACAGTGTGACACTGACTGGGGCTCAGTAATGCTGGCTGGATGACTGCATGGATGCTAACCGACCAGAGAGGAGAGCTAGTGCCTCCTTTCTCCCGTGTACAAGGATGAACACATGGAAACACACTAGTTCGTTATCAGTGACCAACCCTCATGGGGCAGCAACCCTGTAATAAAACAAGCTCTTTTGAGAAAGCCTTCCCTGGGAAATAACTCCATACTCTTTAAGTCCAAATAAATATCATGACAACCATGGATGAGAACTATAAGACTTTTTTTTGGTCCAGAACAGGAGCTGGCAAACTATGTCCCATAGGCGAGATCCAGCTGCCACCTCTTCTAATAAATAAAAGTTTTCCTGGCACACAGGCATGCTCACGTGCGCACACACTGTCTGCACACACTGGCGGAGCTGGGTATTTTGGCTGAAGTGGTAGGGGCTGCGAAGCCAGGACACTTACTCTCTGGCCTTTTAGCAGAACAGGTATGGCAGTCCCACTCTGGAGAAATCAGAGGATGGACACGCAGACAAGACGTAACGTGACTGTCTTTTGGGGGAATGAATGGTGGGTGGCCGTTTACTTCATTCCCATCTTTTTTCTCGTATCAGCCAACTTTTTGAGTTATATAAAGGAGTCCAGATGTTTAAATCACTGGCAGGAGGAGAAGACAGAGGCGCCAGTCGGAGAGCTGCCCAGCCCACAGCGCGATGGCACCTACCTTGTTTCCAATGGCCTTCTTGGGCGGGAAGTTGAAGGCCCTCACTTGAGGGTATTTGTTCTGTAACTTGTGGTGCAAACTCCTGAACTCTGCATACCGCCGATAGACATTCCACTCATCGTCTTTTATCCGGATGTAGACCTTTAGAGAAAAAGAAAAGAGAAAGAAAATTCAAGTCTCCTAAAACTCTCATTCCATCCTGGATGCTTCCATGTCCTGGCTATTGTAAACAGTGCCGCAAAGAACACTGGGGGTCATGTGTCTTTTAGAAATTGTGGTTTTCTCACAGTATGTGCCCAGCAGTGGAGTTGCTGGGCATATGGTAGGCTTACTACTCAGCCCTAAAAAATGAATTTGAGTCAGTTCGAGTGGGGTGGATGAACCTAGAGCCTATTATACAAGGTGAAGTAAGTCAGAAAGAGAGTAACAAATATCGTATATTAATGCATATATGTGGAATCTAGAAAAATGGTGTTGATGAACTTATATACTCTCATGTGTAAAATGGACAACTGATGAGAAGTTGCTATATCGCACAGGGAGCCCAGCTGGTGCTCTGTGATGAACTAGAGGGGTGGGATAGGGGAGCGGAGGGAGGCTCGAGATGGAGGGGATATATGTATAATTACGGCTGATTTGCACTGTTGTATGGCAGAAACCAACACAACATGGTAAAAATTTAAAAAATAAAAAAGTGAAAAAAAATTCTCATTACAAAGGGGGTGGGGCTCTGGCAACACCTCCCGCCAGGAAAACCAACTCTGATAGCAGGGCCACACCTGCCCCCTGGGTCACTGGAGGCCCAGTGCTGGGCGTGGAGGAGGGACTCAGTGTACCACATGCGTAAATGGGTACATGAGAGAATGGCACCATCTGGCAGGCTGCGTACTGATGAACATCAGTTCCCAGTATCAGTGGAGACCGACAGCCCAATTCATCTCAGAGATGCATTTTCCATGCTTTTGTCACAAGCATGCTGTCACAGTGACAGATGGCGGTGGAGAGGCCATTCATCCTCGCTGGCTTGTGTTTCTTCATCTGTTAATGGAGCTGACTAACAGCGCCTCCTCCCAAGGTGGTGGGGAGAACAGTCAGGCTTATAAGCCGTGCAGCTGTGCCTGGGTCACACAGACCAGCACGCCGGTGGGGAGGGGCGGGTGGTTTGAAACCAATCCCAGGAAGGAGGAGGGAGGGAGGGGGCAAGAGCCGAGATCAGCACAACCAGATGGAAGGTCACATCAGGATGGGATACACACACCTGGGGCATCAAACTTCTTCATTTTAATCAAGATGTGATCCTCAAGCTAACATTCAAGGGGTATAAAATGTAAGGGCTATTTCACCTGCCTTTTTAAAAAATTTTTACAGGCCCCCACACCTTCCAGGAACACTACCTCAGAAAGCAAAACAGAGAAGTGGGAGAGAGCTCAAAGAATTTTTAAAAAATTGTGTGAGTTAATAAGAACAGCCGAGGGCTTTTCTGGTGGTTCAGTGGTAAAGGATCCGCCGGCCAATGCAGGAGGCATGGGTTTGATCCCTGGTCTGGGAGGATGCCACGTGCTGTGGAGCGACTAAGCCCGTGGGCCACAACTACTGAGGCCCATGCCCTAGAGCCCGTGCTCCACAACAAGAGAAGCCTGTGTACTGCACTGAAGACCCACCGCAGCCAAAAAGAAATAAAATTAAAACAAAAAAGAAAAGAGCAGCCCAGAGTATGAAGTCTCCACTGATAAATAGCTATTGTAATCTGCAGTCAGTGAATGTCAATGCACGTCTTAAAATCTCTTTCACCATAAAAGCAGGCACCTCTACAGTGACTGATAAATTCTGCCTCTCTCTAAAGAGTACCCTGCATCCCCAGATGTGGACCTCATATATCTGAGCTCTGGGAAGGCGACCACCAATATTCTGGCGAACAAGGTGAAGGAAGGAGGATTTAAACTCAAAGAATGCCAACCAATGGATGGAAGTTTCCACCGGACTTAGATGGAGCAACCTCCGTTGCTCCTATCGAGTCTGACAGAAGCCCCCAAGTGAAGAGAGACTGTAAATACCCTGGATGACAGATATCAAGTGATCTCAAGAGGCTTGAGGGATGAGTCTAACACAACATGATGAAACTTTAAAAGATCAGTGCCAGACTTTGCAACACAACCCCAAAAGCCAACACTGTAAGATAAGATGGGGGAGATACGGTACAGCAATGGCCTGTGGGATAAAGACTCATGGGTTTTAGTAAATTTAAGTTAAGTGAATACTGTTAAAGGGTTACCAAAAAAAAGGCCTATGTATTATTTGCTCAGTCGTGTCTGATTCTCTGCAACCCCCTGGACTATAGCCCACCAGGCTCTTCTGTCCATGGGATTTCCTAGGCAACAATACTGGAGTGGGTTGCCATTTCCTTCTCCAACTATTTGGATCTCATTAAAAGGTATCTGATATATTTTAAATAAAAGGAGTTGATGAGTCTTGCTCTATTTTAAATCGACCATGCCAACTTAGGTTTTGGCTGCTGCCTGTTAAAAAGATGAACTGAAATAGGTTCAGAAATGCCCAGAAAATTTGCTACTCCAAATGTGGTCTGCGAACCAGGAGCATCAGTATCACGTGGTAAGATGGCAGAAATGCAACATCTCAGGCTCCACCCCAGATATACTGACTCAGAATCTGTGTCTTAACCAGAACCCCAACTAGTTCACACACACTTTAAAGTTTAGAAGCACAGGTCCTCAGAGATGATCTGCAGCCAAATTATCAGAGGAAGATGGAAGACGCTGGAGGATGCTAAACCGAGCCTAAAGATGCAGGAAGTACGGATCTCTGAAGACTGCAATGAGGAAAAGCAAAGACCAAAATTATGTGTTCTGGATAATTCCAGGAGGCAAACTTCCAGCAGACAGAAACTAGAGAAAGACAAGTTTCATTAGGAAAGAACTTTATAGCAGCCAAAGTTGCCTAAAGAGGAAAAGATGTGTCTCAAGAGCTTTTTTGGCACTAGGTGCCCAAGCAGTGGTACAATAGACAGATGGTTATCACAATTATGCAAGGATCTGCTTTGTAACAGAGAAGGATAATTAGACCCCAGAAGCATCTGGAAAGGCTTGGCTAGCTGTGGAACAGAGACTTCAGGAATTAACTCTCCACGAACTGAGACAAGATGGATCAGTCGGCAAATAAACCCAGGAGCTCACAGGACTTGTAGGGCATTCTTTGGGTCCTCCCAAGTCACAGCAAATGCAAGCTGCCCAATCAGTATCCATTTCCTTCCAATACTTCTAGCAAGAGCAATGTGTTCAGGGGGAAAAAAATTTAACTACATTTTCTGGTGCTCCTGGCCAGACTCATTAGAAAAGACCCTGATGCTGGGAAAGATTGAGAGCAAGCAGAGAATCAGGCAACAGAGAATGAGATGGTTGGATGGCATCGCTGACTCAATGGCCATGAGTTTGAGCAGACTCAGGGAGATAGTGAAGGACAGGGAAGCCTCATGTGTGGCAGTTCATGGGGTCGCAAAGAGTCAGACACAACTTAGCAACTGAACAACAGGGAGATGAAAGAAAGCTCTTAGAAGAGATCTGACCCAGCTGCTAAGTGCCTTTTTATTCTTCTCCCTGTCTTCCTCTTTCTCAAACACAGATGTGAAGACTGGGGTCCAGCAGTCATTTTATGATCATGAGGTGATCAGGAGAATGGATACAGAAAAGTGGAAGGACCTGGGGTCTCTGGTGAAATTATGGGGCAACCACACCAAATACTAGATAATCTATTCAAAACTTTTTTTTTTCCATTTATTTTTATTAGTTGGAGGCTAATTACTTTACATCATTGCAGTGGTTTTTGTCATACATTGAAATGAATTTTAAAGAGAAATATTCACCTCTAAACTGTTCAAGCTAAGGTTTTAGAGGTCTGCAGACTCATGGCTGAATGCCATTCTTCTCCGATACATCTTGAATGGACTGTACCTACTTGTACTATACTTTTATACAAGTCCAAATATCCCCTTAAGAGTGGCAAATTTAATTGCTTATCTGATCATCAAGTACAAAACAAATTATATAGGTCAGGGGAGGTAAACTGTGGCTCTGTGGGTCAAATCCAGACACATCTATTTGTTGTTGTTGTTCAGTCACTAAATTGTGTCTGACTCTTAGGGACCCCACAGACTGCAGCATGCCAGGCTTCCCTGTCCTCCAGTATCTCCTGGAGTTTGCTCAAATTCACATTCACTGAGTTGGTAATGCTATTTGCTTACCTATTGTTTATAGCTGCTTACAATGGCAGAGTTGAGTGGCTGCAACAAAGATCACATGGCCTGCAAAGCTAAAAATACTTACTCTCTGCATGCATGCATGCTAAGTCACTTCAGTTGTGTCCAATTCTGTGTGGCCCTATGGATTCTGCTGTGCTCCTCTGTCCATGGGATTCTCCAGGCAAGGATACTGGAGTGGGTTGCTGTACCCTCCTCCAGGGGATCTTCCCAACCCAGGGATCAAACCCATATTTTTTACGTCTAAATTGGCAGGCGGGTTCTTAACCACCAGCACCATCTGGGAAGCCATTTACTTTCTGGTCCTTTACAAAATAACTTCTCTGGTCCCTGATTTAGATACTCAGAAAGTCCTCATTATTGTTGTTTTTCAACAAAGATATCCAAATATAGTGCAGAGAAGGGCAGTGCTTTCCAATAATTACCAGCCCTGGGGTGGACCACACAGAAATTCCTGGAGTTCCAAAGCCTTCCGGTGATTCTGACAAGTGGGAGATGTTAGAGCCTGAGTGTGCCCCTCCCCCAAAATACACATGTTGAAGTCCAAACCAGCAATGTAGGACTGGGGCAGGGGACGATTAGGTCATGAGGGTGGAGCCCTCATGAGTAGGATTAGTGCCCTTATAAAAGAGACCCCAGAGCTCCTTCATGCCTTCCATCATGCAAAGACAGTGAGAGGAGAGCAGTCTGGAGCCTTGACTTTGGACTTCCCAGCCTCTAGAACTGTGAAGAAGAATTTGTTGTTGAAATCACCCCATTTGTAGTTGTTACAGCAGCCCAAGTGGACCATTAACACCCCAAGTGGACTACGAAAATGGGCAATTAGGGGAACCTCTGAGGTGAAGCACAGAGTATCCCTCCTCTCTGACTA